AACTTCGGGTTTTGTTTATGTTTATGAGTTTTACACACAAAACTTGATGTGAAAGATGATTATTAATCAATTTTTATTTCATCACGCAATTAAATAGTTGCCAGACTAGAACTAGATCAAGTTGGCCAGAACATGAATAACCCTCTTAAGGAAATACCAAACTTTTTCATTCGGCAACTAGTTAGATCAACATTCATGAATGTTAGATAGGTAACATGTGAGGAGTGCAAATTATTTTGGGACTTTTTATTGCTGGTGAAGCTGTTAAGATGGAATATGTCTCGGCCTACAAAGACATATTATCATGCATACATATGAACAGTGGGACTGCACATGGCCTTTAAATTTCGTAATAAAGACTAACCCAAGTCTTGAGCTGGGTGATTTTCAGCTTCTGTTAGACATTTAACACACATCAAGCAAAGATTTCACAATCATCAAAGGTATTAGTAAATTCTACTTCATTCATACAGATTGCACCTCAATCTTCAGCTGGTACCACCAGAATAGCTAATTGATTATTATTTTATTGAAATCAACACATTATAACAAAATATTTCCAAGGATACAACCCATAAAACTGCAATTAAACGAGAGAGATGTACTACAATCAACTTATAGACACTGAAGAGAATGTCTAGCTATTTAGCTCCCCTAGAACTTCCAACAGGAGATGAAGTCATTAGCTATTATCATGAAGAAGGAAGTCTCTTAAAGCTGTCGGCCTGACTGTCTCAAGATCAAAAAGTATGGTCATGATCCAATGTGGAAAGAGGAATGAAACACAAGTAGGCTTAGCACTGCCAGGCATGCCACAGTAGAAGATATTACAATAAGAAAAATGCATGGGACAACAAAAGTCAGGGTGAAGGGGAGAAAGAAGTACGGAAAAAAGGAAAGGAAAAGAAGCATTGCTCCACTGGAAAGTGCAAGGCCCAACATTAAAGGGCAAATTGACCACAGTTGAAGCCTAGAAATTCTCAGGCTTGAAAACGACATCTGTGAAGTTATGAGAAATCAACTGCCATCCAAGGTGAATACAGAGGCAAGAAATAACAGGAAAAAAACATTCTAATCATGAATTGGGTAGAAACCATTCACAGACATTCCCCCATCAATGCAGATAATCTGCCCAGTGATGTAAGATGATGCAGGTAAGCAAAGAAATGCTACCAGAGATGAAACTTCTGTTGGGTCTCCAAGGCGCCGAGCAGGAGTTACAGAATATACCTCTTCCAAATATTCTTTTTTGCTAAGCACCTGGAACATGGAGGTCAAATGGCATTATGAATAAGTTCAATCTAACAAAAAACAACATGAGCTAGGGTGAATAGGGAATTACTTGCTCCACCATTGAGGTTTTGATGTACCAAGGTGCCACAGCATTACATCTTATGTTGTCTTTTGCCCACTCACAAGCCAAATTTCGTGTAAGCTGATTGATAGCTCCTGAAAACCAACCGAAAGTAAACAAAATTAAAATGAAGTTTCATAAAACTCTTCAACTGTACCACATGGACCCATAAATGATGCGGTGAAATTCACATCAGAAGGGTAAATTACCTTTAGTTGATCCCTGAACAGACATGTTTTTGAGTGAGACAAAACCAGACACAGAAGATGTAAATACAACGCTTCCTGCTCCAGATGCTTTCAGCAGGGGATAAGCTAGTTGTGATAAGTTAAAAACAGATTCAAAATTTGTGGCCATGAGAGTGGAAAATTCCTCTGCTGTGAACTCTACCATTGGTTTCCGGATATTTGTTCCAACATTATTAATCTACGAAAACATTAAAGCCTTGAACTTCATGTTGAACAAAAAAATAGTGGTTAAGAGATGGGAGGATTCATTTTAATTTTGGCACTTAAAAAGATAAACAATAGAAAGCACAAAATTTACAAGTAGCACTCTTATTAATAGAATTTTATACATAAACGGTAGTACGAAATAACTATATTGGGGTTCCGAAAGGACATATGGACAGGTTATACAAAAAAATTTTGAAGCATGCAAGAAATAATTAATGATCACCTTAATCATTAAATAATGACTTGGATGTTATGCATTTGGGTTTAAATTTTAGCTCAACTAATAAATAGCTCGTCTCTTACTTTCACTTTTCAACTAGGAAGTTGTCATTTCAAAAACCAATAATGTTTGATCTTATAATAATATAACATTCAATAGTTTGCATATATATAATTTTGTATTCATCACATATTCACAGCTGAGAAGGGGAAAATTATAATTTGCCGGAGCACATTGAAGTGAAAGCAGAGTAGCTAGCTAGTGAACAGAATTTGTGCTCCAGGATTTGTAGCGGGAGGGAACAAGTGATACCAGGGTATCTCCTGAAGTTTCCACCCCCAATTATGTGCTTCACATAGTCATGTTCCAATAAAAAGAGAGAGACAGTTGGTTTTAATGGTGATTTGCTGAAATGAGATTGTTTAAAGCATTTTAGTTGCTATTAATGTGTTTGGGTAAGCAAAAGAAGTTAGATTGGTGTGGTTAATGGCCTGAAAATCGCAGAATTTCTGGGTTCAGGCTTCGGAACTGCTGGGTTAGGATGAAGAAACTGGAGCACAGATTTATTTATATGTTATCCCATAAAATTCATACCTTTTGACACTCAAATAAATAGTTGAATCCCTTTATTGTATCCCGAATGAGTTATTACACTCGAATACAAGAGGAGGAAAAATAACTCCCCTCCTAATTTTATCATATCACTCTTAATAGTATGTGATTTGGTGACTTGGACTCCATCACTTGTTATTCTTGTTGATGTGACTTCCATGAATTTAGTGTCATATTCCTGCAAGTTATAACCAATTCAGGTTCTTGGGAAGAATAACCCGTTCACTGTAAATCCTCCATCAACACAAATAGTCTGCCCAGTAATGTACGAGGCTGCTGGTAGACAAAGAAATGCTATCAAGGAAGAAACCTCCTTTGGCTCCCCAATGCGTCCCATTGGAGTTCGAACGACTACCTCCTTCATGAAAGTCTCATTATCCAGATGCTGCAACCATAAAGAGATGTATGTCAATTAAACAAGCTCTAATTATTTTAAAACTGAGTTTGGTTATTGGACTTAATAATATTAATGCAGTAAAATTCCTGACATAACCATTAAAATGCTGACATAGAATGTAAACGTGTCAAGTGATTCTTACAGGTGCTGTTAGAGGAGTTCTGATGAGCCAAGGCGCGACAGAATTAGCCCTTATGTTGTCTCTTGCCCACTCACAAGCCAAATTCTTGGCAAGTTGGTTCATAGCCCCTGCAGATAAATAGACCAACGTCAGTATCACCGCTAGCTCTCAAAATCAATCATCAATGTTAAAACCAGTTAAGCTTTCAATATCGTAAATATAATGAAAAAATTTACCTTTAGTTGCTGAATAAGTGGCATCACCGCTTACTGATACCACACCACAGACTGAGGACATGAAAATAATACTTCCTGCTCCTGAAGCTTTCAACAGAGGATATGCAAGTTGAGATAAGTAGTAAGCAGACTCAAAATTGGTAGTCATGACAACTGAAAAATCTTCAGCATTTTGCTCTATAATCGGCTTTACTCTGCTTGTCCCAACATTGTGAACCTGGAGTTGCATAGCAAAATATAAGATAATGAAAATTTTGAACTATTTGCTGAGTTACATCTGAGACATAATGGATTTGGAAACTGGAGAGTCACATACAAGGATGTTAAGTTTTCCATTGAAAAGAGATGACACTCTATCCATTAACTTCTTTCCTTCTGCACGAGATGATACATCACATACCGTACCAGTGACTTTAAAACCTTTCATTTCCCATTCCCGTATGCATTCATTAAGCTCAGCTTCGTTTCTAGAGCATGTATGCACAGATGCACCCATCTCTGCCAATTCCTCCACAACAGCATGCCTGATGGGCGTTGTACATGATTAAACAATGAAATATTAACAGAATGTTAAATATGCTACACAATGTCTCTCTAGTTAGTATATGAAACCACAGAGTACTACATCAGGGACAAGAATAACTGTCAAATGCCACTCAAATAATTTTAATACTACCAACCTTAATGAGAATTATTTAGTAGCCACTAGCCTATAACAAGAAAAATAAAAAGAGAGGAGAACTGAGAGGAAGAAAAACCCGAGTCCTTTGGTTCCACCAGTGACAAGTGCTGTCATGCCCTGAAGATTCCATCTGTTGAGCCCACTGTAGCTGTCTGCTTGAGCCATTATCTCTACTGCTGTTACTTCCAGAAGTTCTTGAAGGTTATATGTTGATAGCCATATATATCGTCCGTCTAACTATTATTAACCACAACCACATGATAGAAGTAGAAGATGCCAAATCAGTCAATTTCAATGTAGACACTAGCAATCAAACCATGATAAGGAAATGCAACTAACACCACAAAATGCCTTGCCCAAACAAAGCAGAAGATTAGATTGTGGAGTCTGGACGCTTTCTGATATTAGAAAGTCGATCCAACTTGTGGCTTGCAGAAGTTCATGAGTTTTGGCCACGAAACTTGTATCCAAAGACGATAATCGATTATTCATATTTTGTTAAACACTTGGGCTTTAAGTTTGGACACCAACAGAAATCAAGTAAAGATTGCCCCATAATCAAAGTAGTTAGAGAAATATTTAATTTATTCATTAGGAAGGAAAAGATATCCGGGGGATATATACAGATGACAATAATATTATACTTATAAAGATTTTTATATAAAATGAGGTGGTAAGAAATGAATAAAAGAGTGAAACAAAAAGTCAAACTTATTAAATTCACTTTTTCATTTATTTTTTGCCACATTACTTTGTATGAAGATTTTTGTAAAATTTCTTTGTAAGTGTAGTATTACTCTACAGATGGGCCAATGACACAATGCAGTATCTAAAGCTAGATATTACAAGAGGTGGAAAAGGCTTGGGCCTGGACCTTGAGGGCCCGGGCCAAAATAATTAGGGGCTGGTCATGGGCCCAAGACCAGTCTTATGGGCCTAGACATTTTTTTTAAAAAATTTTATTTTAACCCCTATATTTATTATCAATTTCATATTAAATAGGAGGATTTTGGATATTTTACATAAGTTAAAAGGAAATTGGGGAGGAGTAAACCTAGGCATTTGGGACTGGTCCCAAAAACCAATCCTAGGGGACTTGGTCCGAAACTCGGACTAGGCCCATGGATGAGGGACTGGTCCCTAGGTTGGGCCCTCCTCCAAGGCCTAGGCTTGGGACCGAGGGCCCAACCTAGGGACCGAAACCCCTTTGCATTTTTTTAAAAAGGTCATTTGAAAAATATTCAAAAACCCCCTATAATTTGAAAATTGACAAAAATATTGAAGGTTAAATTGATGTTTTACACAATTTACTAATCTTGGAGGGTGGAACTAAATTTTCCAGCCTCTAAAAATTACATAAACCCCCCTATATAATTTTTATTAACCCCTTAAAAAAAGAAATTTTTCAAACCCATAGAACCAGTCGTATGGGCCCAAGACCGGTCCTAGGGATCGGTCTAGGCCTTGAAATTTCTCATGGGCTTGGGACTCATGGGACCAGTCCTGTTGGGACCAATCCTTGCCTAGGTCTAAGGAGGGGGTTTGGGCTTGGGCCTTGGAGGAGGGACCAACCCTGGGCCCGGGCCCTCCTCCATTGGGCTTGGTCCTGTCCTAGAATCGATTTTTTGGGTTGAACTTTTTGAGTCTGAGCTTAATTCCCACTTCTATTACATGGTTATTGGATGGAACAATTACACAATTATTACTCATGTTCTTTTGGAAGAAGCCATTCACTGGTTTACTACAAAGATACACTTAACTTCGGGTTTTGTTTATGTTTATGAGTTTTACACACAAAACTTGATGTGAAAGATGATTATTAATCAATTTTTATTTCATCACGCAATTAAANTCATTAAATTCACTATTTCATTCATTTTTTTGCCACATCACTTTGTATGAAGATCTTTGTAAAATTTCTTTGTAAGTGTAGTATTACTCTACAGATGGGCCAATGACACAATGTAGTATCTAAAGCTAGATATTACAAGAGGTGGGAAAGGCCTGGGCCTGGACCTTGAGGGCCCGGGCCCAAATAATTAGGGGCTGGTCATGGGCTCAGGACCAGTCTTATGGGCCTAGACATTTTTTTATAAAACTTTTTTTAACCCCTATATTTATTATTAATTTAATATTAAATAGGAGGATTTTAGATATTTTACAGAAGTTATAAGGAAATTGGGAGGGGTACACCTAGGCATTTGGGACTGGTCCCAAAAAACCAGTCCTAGAAGGCTTGGTCCCAAATCCGGACTAGGCCCATGGATGAGGGATTGGTCCCTAGATCGGACCATCCTCCAAGGCCTAGGCTTAGGACCGATCCCAAGCCTGGGCCCAAACCCCTTTGCATTTGTTCAAAAGAGTCGTTTGAAAAATATTCAAAAACCCCTTGTAATTTGTAAATTGACAAAAATATTGAAGGTTAAATTGATATTTTACACAATTTACTAATCTTCAAAGGTGGAAATAATATTTTCAGCCTCTAAAAATTACATAAACCCCCCTACATAATTTTATTAACCCCTTAAAAAAAGAAAATTTTCAAGCCTATAGAACTGGTCCTATAGTAGGACCGGTCTAGGCCTTGAAATTTCTCATGGGCCTGGGACAAATGAGTGACTGGTCCCAAATGGGACCAGTCCTGTTGGGACCAATCCCTTCCTAGGTCTAGGGAGGGGGTTTGGGCTCAGGCCTTGGAGGAGGGATCAGCCCTGGGCTTGGGCCCTCCTCCACTGGGCTTGGTCCGGTCCTAGGACCGATTTTTTGGGCTGGACTTTTTGGGTCTGAGCCTAATTCCCACTTCTATTACATGGTTATTGGATGGAACAATTACACAATTATTACTCACGTTCTTTTGGAAGAAGCCCTTCACTGGTATAAAAAGCCATTCACTGGTTTAATACAAAGATACACCAACTTCGGGTTTTGTTTATGTTTATGAGTTTTACACACAAAACTTGATGTGAAAGATGATTATTAATCAATTTTTATTTCATCACGCAATTAAATAGTTGCCAGACTAGAACTAGATCAAGTTGGCCAGAACATGAATAACCCTCTTAAGGAAATACCAAACTTTTTCATTCGGCAACTAGTTAGATCAACATTCATGAATGTTAGATAGGTAACATGTGAGGAGTGCAAATTATTTTGGGACTTTTTATTGCTGATCACTCATGCAATGTTAAAACCGTTAAGCTTTCAATATTGTAATATAGTAAAACAATTTACTTTAGTCGCTGAATAAGTGGCATCACCGCTTACTGTACCACACACAGACTGAGGACATGAAAATAATACTTCCTGCTTCTGAAGCTTTCAACAGAGATATGCATTTGAGATAAGAGTAAGCAGACTCAAAATTGGTAGTCATGACACTGAAAAATCTTCAGCATTTTGCTCTATAATCGGCTTTACTCTGCTTGTCCCAACATTGTGAACCTGGAGTTGCATAGCAAATATAAGATAATGAAAATTTTGAACTATTTGCTGAATTACATCTGAGACATAATGGATTTGGAAACTGGAGATTACATACAGGATGTTAAGTTTTCCATAGAACAGAGATGACACTCTATCCATTAACTTCTTTCCTTCTGCTCGAGATGATACATCGCATACTGTACCAGTGACTTTAAAACCTTTCATTTCCCATTCCCGATGCATCATTAAGCTCAACTTCGTTTCTAGAGCACGTATGCACAGATGCACCCATCTCTGCTAATCCTCCACAGCATGCCTGATGGCGTTGTACATGATTAAACAATGAAATATTAACAGAATGTTAAATATGCTACACAATGTCTCTCTAGTTAGTATGAAACCACAGAGTACTACATCAGGGACAAGAATAACTGTCAAATGCCACTCAAATAATTTTAATCCTACAACCTTAATGAGAATTATTTAGTAGCCACAGCCTATACAAGAAAATAAAAAGAGAGGAGAACTGAGAGGAAGAAAAACCCGAGTCCTTGGTTCCACCAGTGACATGCTGTCATGCCCTGAAGATTCCATCTGTTGAGCCCACTGTGCTGTCGCTTGAGCCATTATCTCTACTGCTGTTACTTCCAGAAGTTCTTGAAGGTTATATGTTAGCCATATATCGTCCGTCTAACTATTATTAACCACAACCACATGATAGAAGTAGAAGATGCCAATCATCAATTTCAATGTAGACACTAGCAATCAAACCATGATAAGGAAATGCAACTAACACCACAAAATGCCTTGCCCAAACGAAGCAAGATTAGATTGTGGAGTCTGGACGCTTTCTGATTAGAAAGTCGATCCAACTTGTGGCTTGCAGAAGTTCATGAGTTTTGGCCACGAAACTTGATCCAAGACGCATAATCGATTATTCTATTTTGTTAAAACACTTGGGCTTTAAGTTTGGACACCAACAGAAATCAAGTAAAGATTGCCCCATAATCAAGTGTTAGAGAAATATTTAATTTATTCATACGAAGGAAAAGATGTCTGGGGGGATATATACAGATGGCAATAATACTATATTTACAAAGATTTTTATACAAAGTGACAAAAAGTTAAACTCATTAAATTCACTTTTTCTTTTTTTTTTTGCCACATCACTTTGTATAAGATTTTTATAAATTTTTTTGTAAGTGTAGTATTACTCTACAGATGGTAAAAAATGATAAAAGAGTGAACCAAAAAGTCACACTTTAAATAGTGGTCGTGGATGACATTAATCATCAAATAAAGACCCTTGATGTTATGCATTTGGTTATAAATACATCTCAGAAATCAATAATGCTTTGCTGTTAAAATTAATAAAAACTTTAAGATTGACCGGTTTTATTTACTCACATAACTGAAGTTACAAAGTCAACCTGGAAAATCGTAAACTAGTAATAAAGTTGGATCTCCAATGGCGTGTATCGTATATGTTTAGTTTAATCCCTAGAAAACATCAAAATGAGCTGGTTACAACTTTTATGAGCAGACTCCAAATTCGTAGCCATGATAAATGAGAAATATTCTGCCTTTTTACTCTTCAGTCGGCTTGAATATGTTAGTCCCAACATTATTTATCTACAGTCATACAATTAATGAATTCCGTTTAACATAATTAAAGTGAAAAACGGAACGGATTTGGAAAATGGATGATGATAGACATACAAGGATGTTGAGTTTCCCATCAAATAGAGAGCAGATTTGTTTCATTAGCTTCTCTCGTTCTGATGGAGATGATACTTCACAAACTGAACCGGTGACTTTGAGACCTTTGATTTTCCATTTACAACTGCATTCATTAAGCTCTGCTTCATTCCTAGAACATGTATGCACAGACGCCTCTAACTCTGCCAATTCCTCCACAACAGCGTGCCTGATGAGTGATGACAATATATATAGAAATATTAGTAGTTCGCATCACCCCAAAATATAACTCCAAACACAAAAATGCAGAACTTAGTGGACCTACTAATGTCTCTCATAGTCATCTCATCTGTAACTGTTTCATGTATCTACAAAGGGAGCTAAAGCATTAAGAGAGGGCATGATTGCATTGCATCTAATCTAAGAGCTATATATGATATCCACTTTAATGAAAAATGACCCTTGAAAAGCATGCAAGAGAGGTTTTTAATGAGAACCAGAATTGATGTCATCTTACCCAATTCCTTTGGTTCCACCGGTGATAAGAGCCCTCAAGACTCCATCTGTTGTGCCTGCCAATGGTACCTGCAGCTTCAGCCATTCTCTCTGTTTCTTCCGAAGTACTACTGATGCTTCAACTAGTTTTGGCTAGTTATTATACCAGTAGCCATTGTCACCATGCTGTTATAAAAGACCTTAAAGAATCCAAGTTGGCACCAAACAAGTAGCTCAAGAAAAAATTAATGATCACCTTAATCATTAAATAATAATTTGGATGTTATGCATGTGGATTTAAATTCTTACTTTCACTTTTCAACTAGGAAGTTATCATTTCAAAAACCAATAATGTTTAATCTTATAATTAATATAATTTTCAATAGTTTGCATATATATACTCTGGACTTTCCTCTAAAATTTTGTATCCATCACATATTCACAGCTGAGACAAGGGAAAATTATGATTTGCCGTAACACATTGAATTGAAAGCAGAGTAGCTAGCTAGTGAACAGAATTTGTGCTCCAGGATTTGTAGCGGGAGGGAACAAGTGATACCACGGTATCTCCTAAAGTTTCCACCCCCAATTATGTGCTTCACATAGTCGTGTTCCACTAAAAAAGAGAGAGACAATTGGTTTTAATGGTGATTTGGTGAAATGAGATTGTTTAAAGCATTTTGGTTGCTATAAATGTGTTTGGGTAAGCAAAAGAGGTTAGTGTGGTTTATGGCTGAAAATCGCAGAATTTCTGGGTTCAGGCTTTGGAACTGCTGGGTTAGGATGAAGAAACTGGAGCACAGATTTATTTATATGTTATCCCATAAAATTCATACCTTTTGACACTCAAATTAATAGTTGAATCCCTTTATTGTATCCCGAATGAGTTTTTACACTTGAATACAAGAGGAGGAAAAATAACTCCCCTCCTAATTTTATCATATCACTCTTAATAGTATATGATTTGGTGACTTGGACTCCATCACTTGTTATTCTTGTTGATGTGACTTCCATGAATTTAGTGTCATATTCCTGCAAGTTATAACCAATTCAGGTTCTTGGGAAGAATAACCCGTTCACTGTAAATCCTCCATCAACACAAATAGTCTGCCCAGTAATGTACGAGGCTGCTGGTAGACAAAGAAATGCTATCAAGGAAGAAACCTCCTTTGGCTCCCCAGTGCGTCCCATTGGAGTTCGAACGACTACCTTCTTCATGAAAGTCTCATTATCCAGATGCTGCAACCATAAAGAGATGTATGTCAATTAAACAAGCTCTAATTATTTTAAAACTGAGTTTGGTTATTGGACTTAATAATATTAATGCAGTAAAATTCCTGACACAACCATTAAAATGCTGACATAGAATGTAAACGTGTCAAGTGATTCTTACAGGTGCTGTTAGAGGAGTTCTGATGAGCCAAGGCGCGACAGAATTAGCCCTTATGTTGTCTCTTGCCCACTCACAAGCCAAATTCTTGGCAAGTTGGTTCATAGCCCCTGCAGATAAATAGATCAACATCAGTATCACCGCTAGCTCTCAAAATCAATCATCAATGTTAAAACCAGTTAAGCTTTCAATATTGTAAATATAGTAAAACAATTTACCTTTAGTCGCTGAATAAGTGGCATCACCGCTTACTGATACCACACCACAGACTGAGGACATGAAAATAATACTTCCTGCTTCTGAAGCTTTCAACAGAGGATATGCAAGTTGAGATAAGTAGTAAGCAGACTCAAAATTGGTAGTCATGACAACTGAAAAATCTTCAGCATTTTGCTCTATAATCGGCTTTACTCTGCTTGTCCCAACATTGTGAACCTGGAGTTGCATAGCAAAATATAAGATAATGAAAATTTTGAACTATTTGCTGAATTACATCTGAGACATAATGGATTTGGAAACTGGAGAATTACATACAAGGATGTTAAGTTTTCCATAGAACAGAGATGACACTCTATCCATTAACTTCTTTCCTTCTGCTCGAGATGATACATCGCATACTGTACCAGTGACTTTAAAACCTTTCATTTCCCATTCCCGTATGCATTCATTAAGCTCAACTTCGTTTCTAGAGCATGTATGCACAGATGCACCCATCTCTGCTAATTCCTCCACAACAGCATGCCTGATGGGCGTTGTACATGATTAAACAATGAAATATTAACAGAATGTTAAATATGCTACACAATGTCTCTCTAGTTAGTATATGAAACCACAGAGTACTACATCAGGGACAAGAATAACTGTCAAATGCCACTCAAATAATTTTAATACTACCAACCTTAATGAGAATTATTTAGTAGCCACTAGCCTATAACAAGAAAAATAAAAAGAGAGGAGAACTGAGAGGAAGAAAAACCCGAGTCCTTTGGTTCCACCAGTGACAAGTGCTGTCATGCCCTGAAGATTCCATCTGTTGAGCCCACTGTAGCTGTCTGCTTGAGCCATTATCTCTACTGCTGTTACTTCCAGAAGTTCTTGAAGGTTATATGTTGATAGCCATATATATCGTCCGTCTAACTATTATTAACATACGCACGATAACAAGTAACAATAATTGCATAGTTCATTGCTTACACACTCAAAACGTTTTTATAAGGTTACATATTTATTAACCACAACCACATGATAGAAGTAGAAGATGCCAAATCAGTCAATTTCAATGTAGACACTAGCAATCAAATCATGATAAGGAAATGCAACTAACACCACAAAATGCCTTGCCCAAACAAAGCAGAAGATCAGATTGTGGAGTCTGGGCGCTTTCTGAAATTAGAAAGTCGATCCAACTTGTGGCTTGCAGAAGTTCATGAGTTTTGGCCACGAAACTTGTATCCAAAGACGATAATCGATTATTCATATTTTGTTAAACACTTGAGCTTTAAGTTTGGACACCAACAGAAATCAAGTAAAGATTGCCCCATAATCAAAGTAGTTAGAGAAATATTTAAGGGTTCGTTTGGTTTGTTATTTTAGATAGAATTTTGAGAATAATATTGGGTAGTTGAATATGGTAATTATTACGAGGTAAAATTTAAAAATTAATAAAAAAACCTCTTAGGTTTGCTAATTTAACTAAACACCCCAATATATAAAAATTTTGTAAAATAACAAAAACACCGCCACCCACCTACAGTGCCAGATTTCAGCCACCACCGCCGAAATCTTGCCGGAAAATGGCGTTACCACGTAAACCGGTCAGATCTGGCCGGTTGTGCGTCGATCTTGCCTTTTCCAGCCAGATCCACCACGGATCTGGCTGAAAAAGGCCAGATCGGCGAATTACCGACCATGTTCGATCATTTCTACGCCGTTGTAATAGATTCCGGCTACCACCGACTGTGGTTGCAGGAATCTGGCAACTATGGGTGGGTGGGGGTGTTTTTGTTAGTTTGTAAAATTTTTCTGGGGTGTTTAATTAAATTAATAAATTTAAGGGGTATAAAAGTAATTAAATAAAATATAATAGTATTTCTTAAATAATCAAACAAACAACTATTTTGGGAATAAGATAGGGAATAGGGTAAGAAATAATAAAACAAACGGACCCTAATTTATTCATTATGAAGGAAAAGATGTCCCGAGGGATATATACAGATGGGCCAATGTAGTATCTAAAGCTAGATATTACAAGAGGTGGGAAAGGCCTGGGCCTGGACCTTGAGGGCTTGGGCCCAAATAATTAGGGGCTGGTCGTGGGCCTAGGATTGGTCTTATGGGCCTAGACAATTTTTTATAAAATTTTATTTTAACCCCTATATTTATTATCAATTTCATATTAAATAGGAGAATTTTGGATATTTTACAAAAGTTAAAAGGAAATTGGGGAGGGGTAGACTTAGACATTTGGGACTGATCCCAAAAAACCAGTTCTAGGAAGTTTGGTCCCAAACCCGGACTAGGCCCATGGAAGAGGGATCGATCTAGGGATTGGTCCCTCCTCCAAGGCCTGGGCTTGGGACCGATCCCCAGCCTGGGCCCAAACCCCTTTGCATTTTTTCAAAAAAGTCCTTTGAAAAATATTCAAAAACCCCCTATAATTTTAAAATTGACAAAAAATTAAAGGTTAAATTGATATTTTACACAATTTACTAATCTTTGAGGGTGGAAATACATTTTCCAACATCTAAAAATTACATAAACCCCCCTACATAATTTTATTAACCCCTTAAAAAAATTTTCAAGCTCATAGAATCCATCCTATGGGCCCAAGACCGGTCCTAGAGATCGATATGGGCCTTGAAATTTCTCATGGGTCTGGGACCAATCCAGGCCCATGAGTGACTGGTCCCAAATGGGACCAATCTTGTTGGGACCGATCCCTGCCTAGGTATAGGGAGGGAGTTTGGGCTCGGGCCTTGGAGAAGGGACCAGCCCTAGGCTCAAGCCCTCCTCCATTGGGCTTGGTCTGGTCTTAGGACCGGTTTTTTGGGCTGGACTTTTTGGGTCCGAGCCTAATTCCCGCTTCTATTACATGTTTATTGGATGGAACAATTACACAATTATTACTCACGTTCTTTTGGAAGAAGCCCTTCATTGGTTTACTAAGCCATTCACTGGTTTACTACAAAGATACACTAACTTCGGGTTTTGTTTATGTTTATGAGTTTTACACACAAAACTTGATGTGAAAGATGATTATTAATCAATTTTTATTTCATCACGCAATTAAATAGTTGCCAGACTAGAACCAGATCAGAATATGAATAGCCCTCTTACGGAAATGCCAAACTTTTTCATTCGACAACTAGTTAGATCAACATTCATTAATGATAGATAGGTAATATATGAGGGAGTGCAAATTATGTTGGGACTTTTTATTGCTGGTGAAGCTGTCAAGGTGGAATATGTCTCGGCCTACAAAGACATATTATCATGCATACATATGACCAATGGGACTGCACATGGCCTTTAAATTTCGTAATAAAGACTAACCCAAGTCTTGAGTTGGGTGATTTTCAGCTTCTGTTAGACATTTAACATACATCAAGCAAAGATTTCACAATCATCAAAGGTATTAGTAAATTCTACTTCATTCATACAGATTGCACCTCAATCTTCAGCTGGTACCACCAGAATAGCTAATTGATTATATTTTTATAGAAATCAACACATTATAACAAAATCTTTCCAAGGATACAACCCATAAAACTGCAATTAAACGAGAGAGATGTACTACAATCCAACTTATAGACACAGAAGAGAATGTCTAGCTATTTAGCTCCCTAGAACTTCCAACAGGAGATGAAGTCATTAGCTATTATCATGAAGAAGGAAGTCTCTTAAAGCTGTCGGCCTGACTGTCTCAAGATCAAAAAGTATGGTCATGATCCAATGTGGAAAGAGGAATGAAACACAAGTAGGCTTAGCACTGCCAGGCATGCCACAGTAGAAGATATTACAATAAGAAAAGACAACAAAAGTCAGGGTGAAGGGGAGAAGGAAGTACGGAAAAAAGGAAAGGAAAAGAAGCATTGCTCCACTGGAAAGTGCAAGGCCCAACATTAAAGGGCAAATTGACCACAGTTGAAGCCTAGAAATTCTCAGGCTTGAAAACGACATCTGTGAAGTTATGAGAAATCAACTGCCATCCAAGGTGAATACAGAGGCAAGAAATAACAGGAAAAAAACATTCTAATCATGAATTGGGTAGAAACCATTCACAGACATTCCCCCATCAATGCAGATAATCTGCCCAGTGATGTAAGATGATGCAGGTAAGCAAAGAAATGCTACCAGAGATGAAACTTCTGTTGGGTCTCCAAGGCGCCGAGCAGGAGTTACAGAATATACCTCTTCCAAATATTCTTTTTTGCTAAGCACCTGGAACATGGAGGTCAAATGGCATTATGAATAAGTTCAATCTAACAAAAAACAACATGAGCTAGGGTGAATAGGGAATTACTTGCTCCACCATTGAGGTTTTGATGTACCAAGGTGCCACAGCATTACATCTTATGTTGTCTTTTGCCCACTCACAAGCCAAATTTCGTGTAAGCTGATTGATAGCTCCTGAAAACCAACCGAAAGTAAACAAAATTAAAATGAAGTTTCATAAAACTCTTCAACTGTACCACATGGACCCATAAATGATGCGGTGAAATTCACATCAGAAGGGTAAATTACCTTCAGTTGATCCCTGAACAGACATGTTTTTGAGTGAGACAAAACCAGACACAGAAGATGTAAATACAACGCTT